CTTTTGTAATGTGGTACCGCTCACCTACCACATCTCACATACCGTTCACCTACCGCTCACCTACCGCTCACCTACCTCCCACCAACCACTCTCTTGCTTCTATAAATAGAGAGGGTGTGAGGCCTAGGAGAGCAAGGGAAGAGGTCTTAAGGGTGTGAGGCTTAGGAGAGAAAAAAGGAAGAGATCTTAAGCTACCACAAAGGAGGAGAGAATAGCTAGAGAGCTAGAGAGGAGGAGAGCATCTTGAGGCCTTGTAAGGTGTCGCTTGAGAGGGAGGTCATAGAAGGAAGATGAGGGCTCATCTCTATGTATAAGCTATGTATTCTCCATTTCTTTTGCCTTAGTGAACTATTTGATTGATTCCCTTCCGTGGACGTAGATCCAGTTGGATCGAACCACGTAAACGTTTTGCTTGTGTTTGTGTCCTTTTTCGTCTCATTTCTATGCCAGGAAGTACATATCTCACAACACATGAGAATTGAGCGGTATGAAAGTAAATCTTCCAAAAAACATAAAATTATTTAGAGAAATTTTATACCAGCATTATCCTCATCAGCCACCTCATGGGCACCCTCATCCCCCACCCAACTATGCATGACTCCTTTATCTCTTACTCAACTCGACTGTTGGTAATGCAATTCTTCCAATCCTATTACCTTTGATTCAACCTCTTATATTCTACTAGTTCTGCTCTCAATTCTTTAACTAAAATTATTCAACAGCTCACAACATGCAACAACAATTTATGCTTTTACTCAAAACGGAAACAGCACAATGTAGTGTTTCTCTCACAACAAAATGGAATCATTGTCTTTAGCCATAAGAATATTTATGGCTGAGCTAGAACTTTTACACTAGAAATGCAAGGACGAGCAGATTCATAACAGAGGTGGCAAATTGATGCATCGGCAATAAAAACAAAATGAAGCCAATAATTGTCGAAGAGGCTATCTGCAGCAACGGATATAGAGAAAGGGAGCCGAAAGGAGACCAAGGAATTGTTTATCACTTGAAGCTTATCTATGATGAGGACTTGGATCGGCCCTAGGATTTCTTGGGCTTCGACTGCAAGCATAACGTGGATGCGGAATGTGTAGATCTAACTTGGATCTGCCCTAAGATAGGCACCAGCGAAGCCGTGTGAGGGGTAACCAGAGAAAAAATTGCGAGGCGGCGGCGGACGCGCACAATAATTCCTTGTTGCTACTCTGATCCGTGGTTTGGTTCGCATTGCCTGAACGCGTTATTTAGGGCCTGTTGCAGCTTATTTGGTGCGGCGCGTGACATGAGAGGCAGATTCGAGCTGTTTCCGAAAAGTTTAGGTGTGTAAACGAACTAGACATTTGAACGATTGTTGTTGTTCTACTGTTTGATATTAAATGTGTTTGAAATAGATTTGTATTTGAAATCATTTATAAATTTATTATTCATATTCAGTTTGATTTATTTGAAATATATTTGAAATATTCAAATTATTTGAAATCTTACAAATTTGTTTGTATTGTTCAAATTATTTGAATTTTGTTTAAATTAAACTTATATGAAATTAATGCTTAAACCTATATGAATCACAACACAAATACACAATAGTCAAAATCTAGCTCACAACAAAACCATAATATCACATCTCATTCATAAAAAAAATCAGATTTAGAGGAAGTATGCGAGATTTCACTCTCAAATACTTCAAAAACTAGGTTTTACTAAAAAAAAAAACTAAGTAAATATAAAAGAAATATAAAAAAATTAAAGCTAAGAGGCGAGCCTGAAGTTAAATATGAAATATTAAAGAAATGATACTCAAATATGACACCTCGGTAACCATACAAGCAACCAAGCAAGAATATTGAACAACCAAGCGAGAATACGAAGTAGTCGATCCAACACCGAGTCGCCGACTTGTCGAGGACAAATAAACTTTATCGAAGACAAATAGAAGTAGAGATTAAAGAACAAACACAAACGACAAAACCTAAGTTCTCATGGACAAAAGCTTTTCACGATTTTGAAAGGAGAAGGAGAAGAATCAGAAGAAGAGGACGCGGCCGTAATCTAAAGCTTTCAAGAAGGGAAGGGAATGCCACTTGGGGAAAAGTAGCTTAGGGTGGTTTTCTTTTATATATATATATATATATATATAGATACAATTATATATATATATAGTATATTAATATATTATATTAATGATATAACTTATATTATATAAATATATAATATTTATACATCTAATATTAATATATTATTATTAATAATTTATTATATATTATAATTTATATGATTTAATTTTGTAAAATATGATAGATTTTTTAGTATATAATTAAATGATATATTTTTTATATCTAATTATTTTAAATTATTTTATATTTTGAACAATAACAATTCGAACTCGATCGATTAAATGACTGTTTGTGTTTGGTTTGTTTATAAACCGAACGAAAAAAAAAAATGTTCATGTTTGCCTCGTTCGAGTCGAACACGAACATTTCTTGAACAACGATCTTTTTGATAGCTCTACCCCCCATTCACCAATGTAGATGCTAAAGAAAATTTTTAGGTTTAATTTTATTTTTTATTTTTAAAATTATATTTATATAATGTGATTTTTTTATTAAAAAATAATAATTAACATATTTTTGAAAATAATCTTTTAATTTGAATATTTTTAAAAGTAATCATATTTCAATCTAATATTTCAAGAAGTTTTTTTTTTAAATTCATTTAAATGAAATGAAGGTCAAAGTTTATTAAAAAAGAAAATAAATATATAAAAACTCTTGCAGCACAACACTAAAAAAAAAAAAAAAAATTTGACAGATATCAATAAAGTGAAACAAAAGTTACCCCTTAAAAAAAATCTAAATAAAAAAAGTAATATGTTATCTCCCAAAAGTACTTTTAGGGGTGGCGGGCAGCCCAAAATATAAATATTGCTTTTCGGCCCTACATCTATCCCATGTGGGATTTTTTGCTGTTACATTCTTTTTCACTCAATCACGTTACGCTCTTGTCATGAATTGGCTCCACCGAGGCTCCCACTGGATCATGGAGAGTCCACACACCTGACAAACAACAATCTGCTCTAATACTACTTGTCACCTCCCAAAAGAGCTCTTTGAGGTAGTTGGCAACCCAAGATTTAAATACTATTTTTCGGTCCTATATCTAGCCGATGTGAGACCTTTTATCCGTGACAAATAACTCTAGAAGTGAACCTCTAGCTCCTACATCAACCACTCCATAAGTCAAGCAACAGTCGATCCAAAATATTAATCCACCACAAATATCACCAAATTAACGTCTATATTTAACAATCAATCAATCTTCTTCAAAACATTTAACAAAAAAATAAGCGAGCAAAAAGAAACCACAACCCAAACAATTCGAAAATAAAAAAGCTAAGAAATTATTCCTAATCAACAGAACTAAAAGACAGAAAAACTAAACAAATCAAATCATAAATAAAATAAAATAAATAATAATTAAAAAAAAAAAAAAACTAAAATGGCCGGTCCCAAACGGCCTAAACTTACAATTACAAAAAAGAGCATAGCTGGCGTCGTGCAGCAAAACCAATAGATTATTTTCAGCGTAGGCAAAGCATATGGGCCATGGAGTATGAGCTAATATAATGCGTAGGAGTCCCCAGCTGATGAATTACTAATTTCACTTGTTTAAGCTAAGAATAATTTCTAAAGATAAATATTTGACAGCCAAAAAAGTGCATATATAATAATTTATAACAATTTTTTTTTATGGAATCCATAAATAATTAGTAATTTTCTTTAAATAAAAATGTATTATATTGTCTTAATTTTTATTGGACCTCGTTAGAAGATTGATCCTCTGTTTTTTTTTTTTTCGAGGCTTATGAGCTATTTAATCGTAAATTATTGAAGAATTAGAGGTTAGATAGCTTAGGCAGTGGGCTGTCGGCCAGAGTCAGCTGCTCTCCGCTGATCCCATTATATATACTCTCACTTTTTTGTAGAAAAATAACAACATTTAAGAATGTTATCAAATTCGTCATACAAGTTTTGAACATCAATTATATTTGTTTTTGTGTTATTTCAGCAAATTACTAAATCTAAGAGAGAGAGAGAGAGAGATGATCCGTTTGGGGATATGGTGCGGTGGCCATGACCTAAAATTTATCTATTTGAGTATGTTGTATTTTGACCGTTTTTCAAAAAGCCTTCGCTGAACCACCTATCAGAGCAATATATCATTCGGTACAACATATATTAACACACCCCAAATCGTTCTACGAGACTCACAACTCATGTAGCTTCAGATTCCGACCACTGTGACATACAAACTTCATGTGATCAATTATATCATCAAATGATTTGAATTTGATTCACTAGTTATTATTAATCTCTTTTCAAGTGAGATTATATATCATATTATTACTTGGGTCATATTTGAGTTGCGTCAAATCACTCCAAATCAAAATTAAATTGACTTGATTGCTATTGGAAAAACTTCGTGCTATTTTGGGTAGAATGAGTTGTATTGAATAAAAAATTGTAGGGGTGATTACATACAAGACACCTGAAACATTGCTACGTATAAATTAAGCATTCACTGTCATCCATTTTTCAAAATTCTCACTTAAACATCAAAAGTCATGATAAAATCCTAATATTTATTTTTCATTTTTATCAAATTCACAATGAATCGTTGCACACATAAATGTATCGAATTTATACTTCAAAAAATCACTTTGATGCTTGATTTGTAAATAGCAATGTTTTGTGTGCTATGTATGTAATTATCCCAAAATGATATGATTATTTATATAAATTGGTTGGATGGATTTTGAGTCATTAATTTAAGATCAAATATTTTCACTAATATAATGTAATAAAAAAATCAAATTCATGTAAAATATACTATAATTGAATTAACATTGAATCAAATCTTAAGCTGACGTGTCGACCGGAAAAAAAAAACCCTAGATGCCAAAATAAGGGTTTCTTGAGTTTTCATTAAAGAGAGGGATAAGGGGCGAGAAGGAGAGAGAAATCCAGAATTGCCCTCATCGCAGGCTACTTTGCTTGGACCTCGATTTTTCTTGGATAGACGATTAGCGGTTTCCATCGGCTGGTTTACGTACTGGATAAAGATTTTAGCTATGGCAGGCGGCTTTCCGGCGAAGAGCTGCTAGGTAATGAATAGTTTCCGGTGGGGATAAGGATGGTGAGCAGGAAGCCTGTCCTGCTTCTTCTCTGCCTCACAGTCCTCGCACCGATCGTCCTTTACACCGATCGTCTCGCTACTTTCTCCAATTCCGTTTGTGAGTTAATTCTTCACTTGCAAATGAATGGGCGAAAACTGGCCCTTCGATGCTTTGATGAGTGGGGATCTTATTGCTGTTTTTATGATTTGTTGTTCTTGTTTTTGGGTTTCAGGGAAGAATGATTTCGAGGAAGAAATCTCAAATCCGGTAAAAGAAAAAAGAGTTGACACAGATTTTAATTTTCTCGCACTTGATTTGTCATTTTCGCCTTTGTTAGCCAAACCATACTGGTTATCTCTTCATTTTTTTAATATTTTCTATGGATCTGCGCACAGAATGTGAGGAACGAACCAGCGAGACTAAATGCTGTCCATCAGGTAGTGTTCGTTTTGATTTTTTATTTATTTAGTAGTTTCTTTATTCTTTTCTGAATTATGGAAAATTAATAACGTTTTGGTTGAAATCTAATACAGGAACTTTCAGATGCGCTTAGAGAACCTATTGGTTTAATTTTCTCTGATAATTCCAGTAATCTGATCTCAGCTAATGGACTGGCGGGGACGAACATTGGAGGTAGGGTTTTACTTTCCCCTTTGTTTCTTGAAATTATCTTTTAGTTGTCTTCTCTATGTAAAATTATTAGGGGATAAGTATCGGGGATAAGAATTTCTCAAAAAAAAAAAAAAAAAGTGCGTGATTATGGTCTTCGGAGTTTAATGTTATGTTCGCCATTTCTCAACTTTCCAGAGCACAAGTCCCGAGTGTTGTCAGCTGCTGAGGAGGGTGTGATCAAATCTGTAACTGAGAAAGAGAACCATTTTGATGATTTTCAAAAACCCCAATTGGAAGATGGGAAAAGAGAGGATGCTACTAAGAAGACAAAGAACTCAACCCCTACTTTAGGAGAGCCGGTAATATGGTGACTAATTTGACAATTGTTTTAATTCTGAAAAAAACTTAATCAAGGCTTTCTTATTCAATCCGCAACAGCAGATATTGGTTTGGTTTTTATAATTGCCCATGCAAGAACTATGAAATTTTTTCTTTTAATTGATAGTTTTGATTCTTGATGTCACAATATTGTTTCTCGGGTTTATTGATATGTGTTGTTCCTTTCTCTGAAATGAATACTTCCACTTTTTCAAGAAAACTTCATATTTATTGATAGTCTTTCCTTTGGCATGCTGTTTTGATGATTCAACTTTGATTTTCCTCATGAATTATTAAGAGGAGGGAGCTTTGAACATGGTGATCTTTCACCAGTTGATCTAATTACCTTTTCAATGTTATTGGAGAAGTTTTTATTGCAGGGCAGGTTTCTTCACTTGTGTAGAGTTTTATCACCATTTTGATTTGAATTTTCTTGACAGATAAAGAAAAACGACAGAATAAACAAGCTGGCTGCAAAAACTGAGCTTCAGAATCATCAGTCGGCAATCACAGATAAGCAAACTGCTAAGCCAACAACATCTGATGCTATGGTTCGTCAACTTAAAGATCAACTAATAAGGGCACGAGTTTATCAAGGTCTTGCATCAACAAGAAGCAATCCACATTTAATTAGGGAGCTTCGGGTTCGGGTAAGGGAACTGCAGCGAGCACTCGGTGAAGCTACCAAGGACTCAGAACTATCAAAGAAGTACATGCTCTAAATTTAAGCATTCATTAATCTATTATGCCCTTTATTAGTGTGTTTCTTTAAATATATTCTGTTTGAATGTGTGTGTTTTAGTGCTCATGAGAAGTCGAGGGCATTGGAGCAGGTCCTGGTGAAGGGCAGACAGTCCCAAGATGATTGTTCTGCTATTGTGAAGAAGCTTCGTGCAATGCTTCAGTCCACTGAAGAACAGCTACGAGCTCATAGGAAGCAGGCTATGTTTCTTAACCAGCTTGCAGCAAAAGCCCTACCCAAAGGCTTACACTGCCTTCCCTTGAGGCTTTCGATTGAGTTCTACTCTTTAGATCCAAGCCAGCAGAACTTTCCAAATCAAGAGAAACTTGAAAACCCTGATCTCTACCATTATGCACTTTTCTCTGATAACATATTAGCAGCTGCAGTTGTGGTGAATTCCACTGTGGTTAACGCCAAGGTGAGCTTTTGAAACCACTATCAGTTTTGGTGTAGGATTATATTTACCATCATTCTTAATTTCCTCTAACTCGCAGAACTCTGGGGATCATGTTTTTCACATTGTAACTGATAGGCTGAATTATGCTGCTATGAAGATGTGGTTCTTAGCCAATCCACCAAAAAATGCTACTATTCAAATTCAGAGTGTTGAGGAGTTCACTTGGCTAAACGCAAGCTACAGTCCTGTTCTAAAACAGCTTCATTCTCAGAACATGATTGATTATTACTTCAAGACTCATCGTGGTAACTCTGATCCAAACCTAAAATACCGCAACCCAAAATACCTATCGATTCTTAATCACTTGAGATTTTACCTTCCGGAAATCTTCCCTAAGCTCCAGAAAGTTGTGTTTTTGGATGATGATATTGTGGTGCAGAAGGATTTGACGAAACTTTGGGCGATTGATATGAAAGGAAAGGTTAATGGTGCGGTAGAGACATGTGGAGAGAGCTTTCATAGGTTTGATAGGTATCTCAACTTCTCAAATCCTATGATTGCTAAGAACTTTGATCCTCGTGCTTGTGGATGGGCTTATGGTATGAACGTGTTTGATTTAGCTGAGTGGAGGAAACAAAATATAACAGAAATCTATCATTATTGGCAGAGACTGGTTAGTACATTTTCTTCCTAGACCTCCATTTTATTTCCGTTATTGCTTGTGATGGTGTTTCCTTGTTATTTGGGGACTGAACATTAAAAAACTTATATTTGCAGAACCAAGATAGAACCATGTGGAAGTTGGGAACTCTTCCTCCTGGTCTGATTACATTTTGGAAGCGAACATTCACATTGGACCGGTTTTGGCATGTGCTTGGCCTCGGTTATAACCCTAATGTGAACCAAAGAGATATTGAACGAGCAGCGGTCATCCACTTCAATGGAAATCTGAAGCCTTGGTTAGAGATTGTCATTCCCAAATACCGTAATTATTGGTTTAAATATGTGGATTTTGATCAGGTTTATCTCAGGGAGTGCAACATCACCCCCTGAGCAACAGTATGACACATTTCTTCTTAAATTTCCAGGTTCAGATTCTTTTAGTTTTTTTGTTTCTTTGATCTGGAATGAATCTTTAGTTTACATTGAGCTTCGCCTCTTCTGAAACTAACTGCAGCTATATTGTACATGATCTTTAGAGTTGATTTGTTATTTTATTTTTATTATATTCTACCATAATTGGTAAGCTTACGTTGACTATTTTACACTTTTTAACATAATTGTTTCTTGAAATAAAATTTAATTCGTAATCATATAAGTAGGCTAAGGGTTTGTTTGGAGCAGCTTTAGTTTTCTTAGAATTAGTTGTAAAATTGTTAAAAGAAAAACAAATTTTTTTATTTCTCATTCTAAGCATATCTTTGTTTTTTTTTATTTTTAAAATTTTCTTACACCTGTCACACTTCAAAGGATCCATTTTTAAAAAATTTCTTCTCATCATAAATGCTTAATGCCAACAAAGTTATAATCAAATCTTTTAAAAAATTGCCCCAAACTGACCCCAAGCAGCCTTTAATTTGGGCTGTTAAGGCTATGAATAATGATTTATCAAGAACTTAATTCACCTCATGCTTAGCTAATGAAGGTTTTGACCTAATTACTTTCATGTTGAGCTGAGCTCAAGCGGTGCCAAAACTTTCACTATTTTCATTTATATTCCATTGTCTGCGATGAGCTTAACCTGATCTATCCTATATTTCTTCATGCATATTATATCACTGAATGAAATCCTTAACGATAAGCAGCTTGGAAAATTTTAATGTCTGCTGATGAGCTGGAAAGAAATAAAAAAGAAATGATCGTCCCCACATTGCCCAGCTGTCCACGTGAAATCTGTAGGCTACATCATGCTTTATTGCTTGTTAGTTTGGCTGTCGGTGTCATGCCGTGCTTTTTTTCATCGCCTCTCGTTTCTCGTCGGTGTTGTTGTATGCAATCTGCGGTAGGAAGCTAAAATAATCCTGATTGTCGCAATTAGTTAGTGGGAAATTTTGTTTACTAATTATCTGTTTAACGTATGATCATCAGCCCCCACAATTTTTCAACCCGCATGTTACGGGGTCAACTATTTGGAGTAGGTATTTTTCATATATATATAATTTTGATTGGTGGTTACAACCCCACTTATAAAATTTGTCTCGGATTTGTAATATTTTAACTACATCGTAAAAGCTTTTTCTTGATTTCTAACAATTAGCTTGATAGGATGTGTACATAAAAAAAATGAGTTTTCTTAAGCAAAAGAAAAACTCAACTATTTAATTATGGGCTTTATGGGTCAAGCTCACTGACCATATATTTAATGATCTGATTATGATCATGTTAATAGTACTAATTAGCTGTACCTTTAGAGGTGAACATCTACAGTTTCTTATCGCTAGGAGAACCCATTAAGTACCTCTGAAGCTAGTCAGCCTTCATGGGAGGAGTTCATCCATTGAAGCTCGCTCACATTTCGAGAGTTCTTCCAAGCTCACTTGTACTAATTGACTTGCTACCACGCTTGTCAATAGCCACTTGGCTACAACACAAAGTTCGATGAATAATTTTATCAGGTAGAAGGAAGAGAACTTTAGTCCATCACCACATGCATATCCATTTATTGATCGCTTGACATTGATCCAAGATCTTATCAACGACGAGTCTATCAAGGATTTATATAGTACATCCTATGATATAGCATTTTATTTCTTCTTTAGACTTCTATGCAGGTATATATACTCTATCATGTATAAATAAGAAACAAAAATGGAAAGAGCAGGGGGGACACTAACGCTAGCTCTCTCTCTCTCTCTCTAAAATATCTTTCAACTTCTCATTTCTTTCACAAGGTCTCTTTCAAATTGTATGAGTTCACAAATTACACATGATCTTATATCCCAAAAATTAGTACGAGTTCTTTTGGTAAAAAGAGAAGCGAAGAATAATGATAGATTGCGCTAGAGAATTCTTGGTGCAACAGATGAACAAATTCAGAGAAAAATGAATAAAAAGATATAAAAAAGCAATACAATAAATGTCCAAAACTCATTTTTAGAGCTATTTGAGAAATCAAACGGGATCGTGTGGTGCGAAAAAAAGGATAACGAAGACATCACCAAGGGATGAGCTACTTGGAACCAGAATGAGGAGAGCCTTGACTCCAATATCAGAAGATGATGATGATAATGATGTGGCATATTCCCCTGGAGAAAAGACAACCGAGTCCTCAAATGATGGAGAAAAAAGAAAGAGAAGATTGTTGAAAAATGCATTTTGTAGAAAAAATTATTAAGGCATAATCCCTCAGGGGGTTTGAAATCCATTCTCTGGATTTTTACAAAGGGAGGACTGATCATACTGATTACATGTCCTCTTTTGAATCAGCAGTCAGCTTGTTACAAATAAGCGACACCCTTAAGAATCATTTATTCCTCACAACACTCAAAGAATCGACTTTGTGCAGATTCAATAATTTGACGGTAGGAGTCTTCACCTCCTTCAACGAATTCAAGTAGATGTTGTAGCTCAAATTTCAATGTTATGAAGCCGCAAAAAAATTCTGAAGCTTTATTAAAGATCTGACAAGCTTCATTCGAATAATTGAGTTTTATCACTAGTTTTCAACATGATATGCTCATGGTCAGGGATCTTGAGCCTTCTATCACCCATGCAACACTCACACAGGGTCTATGCGAAGGGCCATTCAAATACACACTTGGCATACAAAAGCTCAAAACTTTGGCTGAACTTTTAGAGTTGGCCAATGAACATATTTCATTCGAAGAATACAACTCTTTCCTGAACACCTTTGGCACTAGAAAATGAGACCAAGGATTCCAAAAAAAGAGAATTGCACAAACATGTGGGGCCCTGTCACCTATTTGTGCAAAGGGACCATCGAAGCTCCCTTGGAAGACATTCTTGAAAACAACAACAACCAAAGGTACCCTATTAAAGGCTTATCACAAAAAGGTCGGAAAAGGAGGCAAGTGGTATCTCATCCCTCCGTGCTAGGAATCACTCACTTATGAGTGTCGATGGTTAAGATCATAGAATCATGCAAATTAAAATTTTCTTTAAGAGATTCTCACCAATGAAAGCTGGTAGTTTCTGGGAATTTTTAGCGCAGTGCTGACAAATATTATGATTATCATCATGATCATGAGGATGATATTGATGAATGTTGTCCTTCTAAACTTGATCAAATAGTTAATATAATAAAGAAAGTTAAAAGAATTCGTCTTGCCAGAAGCTCACACCCAGAGATAAGAAAAGGCACCCATCGAGACTGCTTCTAACAAATCATTTCTTGCCACGATTGTGCATATCATCATTGTTGTACCCGTCATTTTCGACGAGGATGGACCTGAATCCCTAAGAGGTTCAAGTTTGAAACAAATAAAAAGAGGATACATTCATTCCACCAAATTGGTTAAGGCCGCTACTCATATTCATCTGCTGATAACATTAAAGTGAGCTGACCTACCGAAAGACAAAAATCGTTTCAACCATGCAATCACTACAGTAATCGAAAATCATTAAATCATTAGTATTCTAGTCAATGTTGCGAGTCTTGTCAACACCCTCTTCGAAAAAGTTTTCGAGATGATGAACATGACGTATGCTCCACTCACTCCTACTTTAGGACTTTTGTATGAACGTGCTAAAGAACATTCTTAAGCTTGGTGTACACAAAGGGATTAGATTGGAAAATGTTAAGACCACCAAAGTAGTACTTATCTTTGAATGTGAATGTTCCGAATAAGCTCTAATCTGAGTCATGAGCATAAAGAGTAGTTGACTCTGAGACATCATCACTACATCTTGCATGGACCACAGATGAGATGACTGTAGTCGATATCAACATTGCTTGCCACCAGGTCAATCTCATTCCCAAAGCGAGACCCATTAAGAAAAGATGTGAGTTGTAGCCACTGCTTTGGTTGAACCTATCCGACAAGAAGTTCAATAGCTCCTAGAGGCTGATTTCATCCATGAAGTTCAATGTCTTGATTGGCTAGCAAACATAGTGATGGTCCTCGAAGCAAACAACAAATGAAGGACATTATGAATTGACACTTTGGTAGACTTTATTGTCGGTCATTCAGTCATGAGCTTTCTAGATGCCTTCTCAGGATGTTATCAAACTAAAATGCATCCCGTCGGCGCTAAGAAGACTAGTTTTATTACGCTAGAAGACGGTTTAACCTCAAACTCTATCCTCTCAAATGTTCTTCAGAGTAAGCTTAGGAAAATTCTTCAGATATCTGCTTACACTCTAAAGAATCAGAGCGAATTCTAAAAAAGTTCAAGCCAACTTGAATATCTCCACTAAGGAATCTTAAAGAGTTATAAGCACTAATTGGTCACATCACAGACTTGAATGGCTTCATTTCAAATTTAGGTGATTGCTGCTCCTCTTTCTTTAAAATCATGAAGAAATCTACATAGTTTACATGGACGGAAGAATGAAACCTAACATTCAAATAGTTGAAGGGAACTATTAGCTTCACCTCTCCTGTTGTATTGTCCAAAATCAGGAAAAATGCTTTTCATTTATCTTGGACTCGGGAAAAAAAAAACAGTCAACTCAGTTTTGGTCCGCGAGAAGAACAAGAAATAATTTTCAATCTATTATATGAGTAAAGTTTTACGTGGAGCCAAATTGAGATACACAATCATGGAGAAACTTGCATTGGCTCTCATTATTTCAGTAAGGAAACTACGTCCTTACTTTCAAACACAGATCATGAATGCAATCACATGTCGTCTGCTCAAGTCGGTTTTATCATGTCTTAACTATTCTTGAAGATTACTGAAGTGGTCAGCTGAATAAGCGAGTTCGATATTTTTTACTGAAGGACGATCAAAGCTCAGGTAGTCGCCGATTTTCTGGCAAATTTTTCAAAATGATTAACCATGATGAAATTAATGTCACAGATAAGCTAGGCACATTACTTGGACAGAGCCTTAAAAGCCCTGATAAAATGAGTATGTATGATTTTATATAGTCTTCGAGGACTTATATCTCATCATTCAATATTAATTTTGATGCTACGAATAATCAAGCCGAGTATGAAACGTTAATTGTCTGACTGTGCTTTTCGTTAGCAATTAGAGTGAAATACCTCCTTGTCAAATCAGACTCACATTTAGTAGATAATCAAATAAACAGGGTATTCGAAGTATGAGACAATGCCCTACGAATATATTTGTCAAAAGCCAAAGTCGAAATAAAAAAGCTAAAATACTTCTGAATTGAGCACATTCTGAGGTAAGAAAATCAATTTAATGAAATCCTCTCTAAGAGTGAACATTTAGAATCTAAATGACATATGACACTAGAACAACCGGCTATTGAGGAGCTTGAAGTATTGAATACTGAGCCAATTTTTGTTTCGAGTTGGGTCGATCCCATAAATGCATATATGATCACATGCCTAATTCTATCAAGAGTGACAAATTCTTGGAAATTCAGATCAAAAGCAGCACAATACTTCATTATTGACAATAAATTGTTTATAAAGTCAATATCTGCTACTTTATTAAAACGTGTCAAGGAGGATGAAACAATAGTGATCCTTTAGCAAGTTCATGTAGGAGAATGTGAAAACTATTCAGTAAATACTCTGGTCAACTGAATCCTTTGACATGGTTACTATTGGCCAACTCTAAGAAAAGACTTATAAAAATTCGCACAAAGATGTGAACACTGTCAGAGTTTCACTTACATGCAATTGTAACCCTCTCATAAGCTTGAGCTACTCACAAGCCCCCGACCTTTCATAATATGGGGGATGAATCTCCATGATCCCTTTCCTCTAGTCAAAGGGCAACAAAATTTTGTTATTGTAATGATTGACTACTTTTCCAATGGATTGAAGCCAAGTCTCTAACAATAATCACTGCCAAAGTAGTTCACAATTCCATATGGATTGACATCATATGTCAATTCAAACTATCCCTTATGATCATTATTTATAACAAACTCAATTTATTGATAAATATGTCAAGAACTTTTGCAACGAGCAATGAATACAACTTAAGTACATCTCAGTACATCATCCAAATATGAATGATCAAGTAGAAGCTGCCAACAAACTCAACTTAGATTTTTTAAGGAAAAAGATAAAAGGAACAAAAGTACAATGGGTTGAAATCGTACCCTATATCTTATGAGTGTTACACACTACACCCTTTACTTCTAATGGACATACTCGTTTCATTCTATCACATGACATTGAAGCAGTACATCAAGTGGAATACTGAGTACATACTCAATGGTCGGCTCGAGCTTTGAGGAGCGAGAGTTAAACGAGTGGGATATGGCTCAACAATAAGAGCCTATGCAATTTGCTTGATCTTTTGGAAGAACTTTGAGATCAATCTGCATTACAATAAATTGAAGTCAATAGGGCCTCAAGATGTTACAATCACAAGTCAAGGAATGAAAATTCAAAACAGACGATTTGGTTCGAAAAAGGGTTTGCATCTCAACTCGCAATCATGCAGTTTGAAAACTTTGTTTCTTCATGGACTGGGCCTTATATTATGAAAAGAAAGTTGGTTCAGGCATTCAAGCTAATTGCATATCTTGACAAAGAAATTTCTTAGGCGTTGAGAGAGGATGATCTTAAGATATTCTATCCCTAAAAATTGATGATACAATCACACTTTTGTGTGTGTGTGTGTGTGTGTGTGTGTGTGTGTGTGACTTGATTAGAATAGCATTTAACTTAGCGTTAATAAGAGTTTTTTCTTCCTCTTTCTTATTTATACGTGGCACACTGAAAGAAGATACTTGCTAAACAGGTAACGGGTTCCCACATCTATCCTCAGCCGGGTAAGAGACCTCTGACGACCTCAAAGGTAGCTTTAATCCTGATGAATCCAAACAGCCCGATATGTTCTGTTTCAAAAAGCAAATGACTCCCTAGTTTGGATATCAACTAATAAGAGGGTTACATCGGATTGACTGCGGTGCCTTATTTCCTCAACTATCACAAGCTCCTCTGACGACATCTTCTTTATTTGCGTGCTTCTCACTCAACAAGAACATTTTTAATTGAATATATTTCGAGTAAGTTTCGCGGGACCCCCCTTTGCTCTATTTATAGACCTTGGGAGGAAGCATTATCACAACAACAATAGGGGAAGCCATAAAGCGAATGATATATTTTCTTCTAGTCATTATGAAATGTATTCTCATTTACTATATTTATTGTTACTGATATTATTTGAGACACTTCAAACAATAATGCTTCTCTTTCCAGGAAAAACACTCGACTAGTCTTATTCGGGAAGCCTCTTGTACATCATAGTCGAGACAAGCAAAAGCTTATCAGCACGAGCTAACAGGGTCACAAGCTGGTCCGACTAATTTTATATTCAACTCGAACGAGTTTGTTCATCATTTATACCCTCAACGTTGGAGCAAAATTTAAATCACCTTATAAGTAGTAGATATTCATAGGCTATAGGTCAAACCAAGGTAGATTGACCCCCCGAAAATGAGCAAGGAGTACTGTGCGAGTCCTCCCTTAAGGCATGTTTAGATAAGGACTCCACTGACAATGGTGACACGACCCTCCTGTAAGCCTCAACGTGGCCTATCCATGGTGATGACAACCATGAATTTTGATAGTAGATTAATAAAAATCATAAGACTCAAACCAAAAGCCTTATGCAAATTGCATTAGTTAATCACATGCGTAACAAAGGCAAAAGTGTGATGGATTTATAATCACACACAAAAAATCACTAATAAGGTAAATTACTCTAAAAATATAAACAAAAAAAAAAAAACATGTGTATACTTTTATACACAAGCAAAAAGAAAACACTAGAATTAAGTAAATGTGTCAAAAAGTGATCTGACACGCCAACACGACTCGAACTTGACTCGAAAATTTCAGGTAAGGGAAATATTTTTTGAGTGGGGCATGGGTTTGAAAATTCAACATGTAAAAATTTCTGGTCAGGTTCGGGTTGAACCCAAAAACCTGAACATTACCCGAATAACGTGAAAATTTTGTTGTAATATTAACTTTTATGCCATTGATTGTCATATATAAACATTTTTTTTTTAATTTGCCTATTTTTACTTGTTAAATGTTAGAGGTAAAATTTTTAATAAAAAATTGTGCTAGTAGGTTAAATGGATTGGGTTCGTGTTAACCGTGTTTGGGTCGAGTTGGTTCTGGGTTGAGTCTTTCAACCCATTTATTATTTGGGTCGGGTTAGGGTTGACTCAATTCAGGTCTGGTTAATTTCCAGTTGGACCCAAACCTAACCCGCTAAGCTGAATCGACATTCTTAGAATTAAGCGTTTGTGAAGAACTTGTCTTTTTCATCTTCTTCATCTTCGAGCCCCCAGCGAGCTCCATGAAGCAATCAAAATCGTCTAAAGGGAGGCAGAATTTACTTTTGCACCAAGGTGTTCAAGCAAGATTTAATTGTGCTTTCGTAATGATTAACCAATAACTCGTATTCGAGCATTTATGTGAGTTCCTTGAGGAATTCATCTTGTTTCTTCCTCCCTTCAAGCTACTTCTTCAAGTCTACGACTTCTTCCTCAAGCCTTCTTTTCAGCTCGATTGCCTCTTTGGACTTCATATAATGTCTTTCAAAGGCTCTAGTTTTTTTCTCCATCTTCTTCTTATGCTCTGTACACTGATGAACTAAGAGTTCAGATGCTTGTTTATGCCCTTCACATTCCTTCACCAATCTTTCTAGCCCTTCACACGGGCTAACTCATCATCTGTTATCTCGCTCAGCTCATCGAGGGACTTAACATTTTACATCTTCTAGCTGTTTTACTTGTGCTTGAAAGGAAACGAGTTGCTTTGCACCCTCTTTGAATTTTATATGTAGTTGCTCATCTTCAACGAATTCTTTTACTTTTCATCTTTTGAACGAGCTTTCTTCAGCGTAGCTTGCTCTTTACAAAACTTGAGATGTGATGCACCCTTAGTAGAGCATGAAGCACAGACCATCCCACCCTCTTATCCAACTTCTCCAAGTTTGCAGAGTGGAGAGTTGACCCCAACTAAAAGAGTCTCTCACAATAGTTCTGCTTCTTCATCCAATCTTGGCTCAAATCCACCAGTGCTCGATTTTGAGCCTTTTTCATAATGGAAATACTATCTTCCTTAACAAACTCTTCTTGAGTGGAAGTAGGTGCAATCGTCCCCGAGCACGTGACACCATCATCTAGTTTCTTCTCCACTCTTCTCTTTTTGGGGTGAGCTATAACATGCACCTATTCCTCCAGCATAGCTTTTCCCTAGCCTGCAAGCATTGGCTCAAGAACTTGGGGAACTGAAGTCGGTTCCCTAATCATTACCCCAACTTCCCTTCTTGGACCTCCCAGTCTTCTTGGGAGTTTTGCAAGAGCAATCTTGTCCTCCTCATCTCTGTCCACTTCGGTGACCAGTGCGTCAGCGACACGGTCCGTATCATCTCCTATCATCATTTTTGCCAGCAAACTTGGAAAATCGAGAGCCTTGGTATTTTCCTTAAAAATGCTCTCGTGAAAAATGTCCCAATGTTTTTGTTGTTCAGCAGGAGGTCATTGTGTCCTTTCTGAAATAAAAAACATGGTTTTCAAAATAATTTATTGAGGATTATTCATAAAGTATCATCATGCGAACGAGAATAACATGTCGATTTTCACTTTTTTTGTCGATGTAAAGTACTGGACATCAAGTTCTTTGTCTTTCAACATGGTGTAGCTCTAATGCTCCTGAAAGGTAAGATGTGTGATAGCTGACACCCTACCTCCAACAAACAGTTGAGGGGCTGTGGGAATCATCCAAAAACTCTTACAATCGACAAAATAAAATTTTTCCTCCAATCAAGAATCTCGTTCTCTAAGTTTGACATACATTAACTTCGTTAGAGCAAACGATACGGTCTCATCCTTGAATGTCTTTGGTCGAAGCAAGTTGCGAAAAACATTTACCGACTAGAATAATTTTTTGTCTAAAAAATAAGATCACCGATATTGCATTGGCTATTGAGTGTGATGAATCTTTGCGGAAAATGACCCGAAGAAATTAAGAATGTCTAATAGTTCCTCGCACAAAGTTACTAGCAAACGAACTTAGACGGTTATATCTTAACCGTTGGACAAAACTTACATAAATTAAATATAAGGTATAGCTCATGTAAACATTACCCGGTTTATACTAAAATTAATTATAAATTGACTTAACAAAAATTAAACCAAATTAAATTCAAGCCTAACTCAATATAGACATAACTAAATACAGTCTAGACCTAACCTTGCTAAGCCAAAACTCGATGTCAAACATTAGTAAATTAATTTTATTTTTGTGTTTAGTGTTATTAAAAAATTACAGTGTCATTAAAATAAAATTTATGAAAAAAATTCATCAAACGTAACGTAAAGATTAAATCAATTTAAAACATGAAGACTGAATTTAATTAAATATACTAATAAACAAAATTGAAGTTTTATATCAAGCTTAAGATGTTTGATCTAGCTCATTTCAATAATTGGACAAACTACGAGTCATTTGGTTCATATTATGGAGATGTTTGGCTCGACTGCATGTAGGGTTATAATTGAGCCAAGTAAAGTCGAGTACGTAATAGATTGGTCAAATCGTAAGTTGTTTATATTCAGCTCGAGTTTGAGCTAAGCTTTCATATATATTTTCATACTTAGTTTGATTAAATTTTAAATGTTTATATTTGATTTGTACTTGGCTGATTTATATTTATAAAACAAAAAATAAAAATAAAAATAAAAGATACTTAATTTTTATATAAAATTAAAATTTTGATATGAAATTGATTTTCCATATAAAATTAGTTAACAAGTTAAAATTTTGATTAAAATTTGAGTTTTTTTATATAAAACTATTAACAAATAATTTTAAAAATATAAATAAATAAAGAATTTAATAAATTTTAAATAAGCATCTAACTAGTTTGTACCAAGTAAAAAATAATATATATATATATATATATATAAATTGTAAATAAACTTTCTTGTAACCAAATAATACAAATAAGTGCTAGCAAAATATTTCATTGAAATAAAAAAAATAAAAATAAATTATATTAAATTTATATTCATATTGATATTAAATTACAATAAATATGTTTTAGTTGATCAAATTTATTTAAATAATATATCACATAAGTATAGAGCATTTAACGACTTACTGAACAATAAATGAATTTATTCGTAAACATTAACAAACGAGTTAGACTATGTTTAAATTTGACTCATTTAACCTTCAACTTTTAAGAAAATTTTCAAATTTGATTAAATTGAACAAATATGATCGAGTATTAATCAAGTCAAATTCGAGTTGTTCATCAAGTGCATTGATTGACTTATAGCCCTAACTATAAGTTTACTGGAATTTAAATGTTCAAATTTGATTAATCTGAACAAATATGATCGAGTATTAATCAAGCCAAATTCGAGTTGTTCATCAAGTGCATTGGTTGACTTATAGCCCTAACTATAAGTTTACTGGAATTGAAGCATTTATAGTCCTTAAATTGATTTTAGAAGCTTCTGATCCCAAAATGTATTAGGATTTGTCTCCTATCAAGTCAATATTTAAAATTTTAATTTAATTAAATTTTTTGGATTTATTTAAAATTAAGTAGTGTTAAATTTGACTTATAATTAAATTGAATTTTTTAGGGATAATCACATAGATCACCCGAGACGTTAATATTTATAAATTAACTACTCAGATAATTTTTTTAAATAATCAAATTGATGTATTTACGTGTGTCACGATCAAAATATTAAAAATTTGATAAAAAAAAAAAAATGTGGGTTGGGTTGAAATTTGAGTGAGAATTTGCAAAATGGACGGATAATAAGTTTCTGGTATTAGGATTTGTCTCCTATCAAGTCAATATTTAAATTTTTAATTTAATTATTTTTTTTGGATTTATTTAAAATTAAGTAGAGTTAAATTTGACTTATAATGAAATTAATTTTTTTAGGGATAATCACATAGACCACCCGAGACATTGATATTTATAAATTAACTACTCAGATAAATTATTTAAACAATCAAATTGATGTATTTACGTGTGTTGATCAAAATATTAAAAATTTGATAAAAAAAAAATGTGGGTTGGGTTGAAATTTGAGCGAGAATTTGCAAAATGGACGGATAATAAGTTTCTGGCCATCAGTATGTAATTGCCCCAAAATTTTTATTTTAAACTGCATTCAGAAAAATTCAAACTTACAATATTATCGACATCCATGTTTTCGAAGATCGCTCATCACTTTACACAACAGATGCCGCTGCTCCTGAATTTGCTGCAGTTAATCGCGCAGTATTTCTGGCTTGCCTAACGCTGAACACTATCCATGTTTTCGAAGATCGCTCATCACATTACACAACAGATGCCGCTGCTCCTAAATTTGCTGCTCCTAAATTTGCTGCAGTTAATCGCGCAGTATTTCTGGCTTGCCTAACGCTGAACACTGTCATCTGTTAGGGTTTCAGATATTGCTTCTCCAAAAAAATCCGTCTTCATCCAAGTTCAGCTTCAGTTTCCCCTCCTCTAGATCATATTTTGACAGCTAGGTTTACAGTCGTCTCCATCTAATGGATCAGCAAGGTCACAGCACGCCGCCGGCGATCGGTGCCCCCGCCTCTGTTCCCTACCCTGCCGCGCCAGCAGCAAGCCGCCTATCAGCATCTCTATCAGCAGCAGCAGCAACAACAGCAACAACTTCAACTCTTCTGGGCCGATCAGTACCGCGAGATCGAGCAAACCGTTGATTTCAAGAACCACAATCTTCCTTTAGCCCGCATCAAGAAGATCATGAAGGCTGACGAGGACGTGAGGATGATCGCCGCCGAGGCGCCGGTGGTCTTCGCGCGTGCCTGTGAGATGTTCATCCTCGAGCTCACACACAGGGGATGGGCTCACGCCGAGGAGAACAAGCGCCGCACTCTCCAAAAGAATGATATCGCCGCTGCAATCACTCGAACCGACGTTTTTGACTTCCTTGTGGATATAGTACCGAGAGAGGAGGGGAGGGATGAAGCAGTTCCTAGGGCGATCCCAGGTGGGCCGGTTGATCCGATGTACTACTATGTGCAGCAATAATTGAGGTGGCAAAGTGAGTGCCCTGTTGCCTTCTATCACTTGGGGTCTTACTTTAGGTTGTTGTTACCTATGGAGAATTATCGTGGTCTCTAGTCTGCGTAGTTAAACTGCGTTGCTTACGGAAACTTGGTTTATATTTGAGTGTTTTAATGGATGTGGAGATGTTCTATGTTTTCTATTGTTAGTAGTATGTGCTTTCAGATCCGTGAATGAATCAGTTTGTGGGAGTTGATAAAGTATATTTAAGCTTGTTGTGTGTTTTTATGTCAGATTTCTTGCATGTTTTTAAATGACGACGGCAATAATGCTGTCATGCATGTTATAAATGATACGTGCATGTGGTTTATTGTTTGTGAGAATGCCTGAGGAATGAATTTGCTTGCTTTTGCATTTAAATTAAACTGTTGTAGATAAGTTGACGTCCATGCATTTTTCTTATCAGTTTATTGTCCTGTGCATAAAAGGAAGCTAACATGTAATTGTATTGCTTTTCAATATAATTCTTTGCTGAATTTGTGTTAATTATAGGTCTAATCCAGGCTGTGTTACACATTTTATGTGTGTTCAATTCTTTGACATGAACAGATTGTAATAAGTTTTAAGTTTATGAATAGTTTCTTAACATGCAATTTACACTTTGCGCGATTCCTATTATGTGATCTTACAAACTTAATTTGTTTCTAATTTTGCAAACACTCGGTATGTTTTCATGGGAAGGAAGGGCTTCTATGCAAGAAACCTGTTGAGAGTGGTGGACTGATGGTGATAGGTTGTTTTTTAAAACAATCTATTAAGGTAGAAGTCAGCAGTTCTTAGTGCCTCTTAACTGTTGTTGATATTAGCTTTTCTTATTTAAGTGTATAACGATATATTTGTATCTTCTTTGCAGCAATTTGACTTATTATTTTAAACTCCATTCTTCATTATCATTGTCATTTATTTTTTCCCAATTATTTTGTCAATTTTATTGTTAATCAGTTTTCATCTGATCTTATTGAGAGTTGGAAGAGGCATTAAGCTTATTCTTTTACCATTTTATTGAGTAAATTTTATTCATGTTACTGGATCCAAATTTTTTTGATGGACACACCACCTAGATAAGAAAAATAGAGAGATAGGAAAAAGAGAAGGGGTGATGGATAGCCAAAGAGTTTAGAGAATATGAAAGAATTAGTATATTTCAAGTGGCACTTGTGTCATATATCTCCATAAGCTCCCTAATTCTAGACCTTTGACTCTCTTTTTATAGATATAGGGGGTCACAATCCAATACATTAATGTAAAGGTTAAGATTAATGTAACTAAATAAGTGGTTGCGGCACTGGGGTTTTGCTTACTGCTTGGCTGGCATTGTATTGTCTCTTATAGTTGGCGTGAGGCTGTAGCCCACTTTGTAGCCATGCAGTGTGTCCTGTGGCTAGAGGGTGGGGTGCCGAGTAAGCTAGTGGTTGATTGACCTGTGTCAAATTGTTGGTGCCGGACTGGCTTAGGATAGCTGTAAATAATGCTCATGTTATCTATTGGACAAACTCTTAATCTTATCAAAAAACTCCCAGGTAGCTCCAATAGGCTACTAGTTGGTGTTAGCACCAGCGTGAACTTGAAGCTACCTCTTTGGTTGTGAAGAGCTTGCGATGAGTGAGTTTGATTGTATCTTATGTTATAGTCCATAATGATCACTACTCGTATGATTTATCTTACTAGAATCTATATCCATTCAATTCCTTATAGTCCATAATGATCACTACTCCTCGTTTGATTTATCTTACTAGAATCTATATCCATTCAATTCACGCTTGATATACATCCTTTCAATTTACACTTGATATACATCCTTTCAATCTTAATTGTGCTGTTGTCAAGGTTTAAAAAATCAAACTGACCATTAAATAAGAAGAATGAGATGTTCAAGGTTTAATGGTTCATCAGGGGTTGAATCAAATGACGCAATAAATATTAATATTATTTAAATGATACAATAATGTAAATATATGCTAGAATTTGTACACAATATCTTCAATAATTATAAATTTAATGGTCAAAATAAAGTTATTAATATATAACTATTTTTATATTATAAATCTTGTTCTATATATTAAATATGTTTTGAATTTTTAATAATTTTAATATAGATATAAAAATATAAACATTATTTATCGTAAGAATATAATTTGTAATAAAATTTTTAATTAATAAGAATATAAAATTTATAGTATAAAAAAAATAAAAATAAAATAAAATGTTATTTCTATATCTATCACATTGTACAGCCCTTTTAACATTCTCAAAGCCCAAATCCTATGACCCAATTCTTCATTTTGATGCCCAACTCTAACTTTTGCACCCGTAGCTTTTTTAAGCTCCACATCATTGAGGAATGATAGTATTATATTATTAATATTGATATACGAGCTTGTCTGTATGAGCTTCTAATTGACTTGAGTGATGAGCATGCTATAGATTAGCTTTATTAAAGCTCATCTTAATTAAATTTAAGATTTACAAATTTATTTTTATAAGTAAAACTTAATGTAATTTATAAGTTTAATTTTTTATATGAAAAACTATAGCCATTGATTTAAAACTTAATGGTAATGAAAAATTTTATTTGGATTGGCCGGTTCTATAGAACCGGGACTAGTTCATTGGTTGAACTGCAGTTCAGATCGGGTCTCACCAGTTCGACATGAAACACTTTTTAGTGCTACGCGGACTAATTTTATACCCTGTTCATGATCAAATCAGTTAAACTGGCCATTCTGATCTGATTTTTAAAACCTTAGTTGTCTAGTTCATTCATCTCTTTCCAAATATTAATTTTTCAATGTATTTTTTAAATTAAGTTGTGGAGTATATGCACTGGTGACATTTATAATTTTACAGTCAATAACTAACTTAATAGCAATCGCCTTATTCTAAAAATATTTTTATCTTTCAACTCCATGTCCATTATAATCCCAAACCAATCCTATTATTAAAATTTTCTTGGATTTTACGTCTTTCTATTTTTTTCTCTTACAAACAAGTAATATTCATTCTTTTTCTAATTATTTCGTTTGCTAATTTTATTGCCTTCCTAATGAAAGCCCATAAATTTTATTTAGTAATTTTGTTTTAGTCATAGATATAGTCAAATCATGCTTATCTGTTTTTATTTTAATTAGATTAAATTGTTATGAATCACTTAGTTGTTTTAGTCTAACTATCCTTTACCAGAATTTTCACTGCAATCAGGTTAAATTATGGTGTTTCTGTTACGTGAGACATTCTAATAAACCCTTGCTTACTTTCATTACCTTTAGCTTATGTTTTGGCACAACACTTGTGGGTAATCTACTGGGGACAACCTGCTGCATATCATTGTGAGAGGGTAGAGGGGAGATCTTACATGCATAAAGGAATGCAGGCCGAGCGATGTGGGTTAGAGTGGTGTGGGCTTACCTAGAAAATAATTAAAAAAAAAACTCTAAATTGATGAGGCAGGCACATTGATATATTTGAGGCTTGAGGTGTGCCACACAACGGGTTAGAGTGGTGCGGGCTTAGCTAGAAAATAATTAAAAAAAAAAACTCTAAATTGATGAGGCAGGCGCATTGATATATTTGAGGCTTGAGGTGTGCCACACAAAATGTGAGACGTATGCCTCACCTGGGCCACCCACTTTAGGCATGCGCCACAAAGCACTTTAGAGCTCAATTGCGCTGAGTTTCCTCCCAAATTATGCAATTTTAAGTAGTACTAAGTTCTAACAAACTCTTGCTTGCCTCTAAACACAATTGTACTGGATTATGAAATGACATCTTAATGGGGAATCTCCGTAGCACTACCAAAAATTAACTTTGGATATATGTTAATAGATTCTGCTTTAGTTTTGTGGTTAAGTATCAATCTGATATGAACACTATATCTTTCTCATCCAGTGTTGAGATTGGGGATGATGGCTCTAAACACTATTGGCATTTTCCATGTTTTCTTTTATCGGCGAATGGAAGTATCCACGTGTTTAAGTGTGTAATTCATGCGTGTGAGACTTCGTATCACTAGCATTCAGTTTTTTTCTTGTTTATTGTTTAATCCATTTTATTTGGTTCTAATTTTTGCTAATCGAGCTCGTTTGAGTCCTATTTGGTTATATTTTTAAACCAAATCCAGAGAGCAGGCCAACTTTGAGATTGAAAAGTAACCCAAAATGACAAATATATGCTTGTATCCATGCCTCCTAATTTCTACATGGGACAATAAATATACATGATTGATAGAAATGTTATATTTTTTGTTTTGTTGTATGGTTTATTGATTTACTTATAGCCCCTATTTTTTGTGTAAAGTTAGTGATTCTGTAACTCACTAAAGACTCGATGCGCAACATATGTTTGGAAGGGTTAATGTTATTACTTGTTTCTAACATGGATTTAATTTTACCGCTGCTGATGGTGGACTGATTGAGGGGAAACAAAATATTTGCTGCTTACTTGCAGTCAGCTCTCAACAAAATCCATACTTGCAAAAATCAAGTTAGAGACGCATTTCTGGATTGTAAAGGCTTATTTGGTTGCTTCTATATATAATATTTTAAAAGGATGATGATATCTTTTTCGTTTAGTTTTAGTGGATAAAATCATCACATTTCAGTTGATCTTTTTGTAGCTTCATGGAGCTTAAAAATTGTTTTCGTTCCAACAAACTGATTGATTTTAGAAATTTCATTATTTTACAAAACATATGTTCTAATGTAAAGGAACCAGATGAGTTCTTGAAAAATATGGTAGATGCAAATTAGTCTTCATAAATTGAAGGTAAAAAGTTTTTAATATGGCAGCTCGACAAATTTGTAAATAAGAAAATAGTCTGATTAAGGGTTTCGCATAAGGTTATTTTATAACATAAATACCACATACTTAATATGTATTTACATATTTAAGACCTAAATTTTGATATTGACACTTATATAACAATTTGATGTCACAAACTTTTACCTTAAAAAATGTATTTCACTTTTAAAAGTCAGCATGACATTTTTGATATTATGTTAAAGATTTGAATGTTATGCATATAAATATAAAAGTTCAGGTGTTAGATTTATAAATACATAATTGTGTGCTGTTGATGTAAATAACCCATACCCATAGTAACATATAAATCATTAAAAGTGCAAAAAAATAGTTCTAGAGAGAGGATACATCGTTGGCAGCTCACTTCAACTTATTTCGATG